TTACTAATTTCACAGACGTAAACAGCGTACATTTCGAAATTTCGAAAGTGTTTTTTTTTTGTTTTTCAAAGACCCCGTATTAGGAATATATCTTGTGTCACGGGGGACTTTACAAACATACATGAAACGGACACAAAGAACACCCAGACTCAGAACAACAATTTGTGAATCACGCAAAGTGTCGTCCGATGTGAGGATCGAACCCACAACACTCAGCGTAGTAATAAGCATCGTGGCGACCGCTTAAACAACTACGACATTCGTGCAGTCAATTTCACAGATCGGTTATATAGATTGCAGACATCGGTTCATTGGTGACGTCAACAATTTGCTTTAAAATGAACAAAAAACTAAATGTATAGGTTTTACTATGTCAAACGTCAAGCCAGTGAAAACTACTGTGATGATTTAGGATGTCGAATTGGACCTTGTGGAGTCTACGACATTTTTAGGTATAACACTAGATTCTAAGCTACAGTGGGGCCCACAAGTTGATAATTTGTCGAGTTAACTCAGCTCAGCAGCATACGCAGTAAAAAATAGGAATAAACATAATGACAGTGGCAAGTCAATATATTTATATGAAAATGTAATATATGTTCACAAAAACAAAGAGAGCTTCTTGAAAAGAAGTGATGTACTTACATGCTTTTGATACCAGTAATAGAAATAAACTTGTTATACCTGCCTCTAGGCTCCAAAAGATAAGCAAATCATTTCGAGGTCAATGGGTCCGATACTATAATAAAATTCCAAATAGTATCCAAGATTTTTGTATAAACAAATTTATATAAACAATAAAACTTAAATTATGTCAGAAAACCTATTACTTAATTATGGATTACATAGAAGACAAGAATGCTTGGGGTTAATTTAGCGCAAGCTATTTCGTAGTGGAAAATATGATGTGGGCTGGAGTGCCTTTTATTTAATTTTCGTTTTTTTCATGTTTTACTTCAGTTTCTTCCTTAATTTCATCTTTATTTTCTATTTCTTATTTTCTCTTCATTGCCTTGCAAAGGACAGCTTTTTAAAAAGAAGTGATGTACTTTTTATAAATACTAGAAATGGAAAGTCCTACGGTGTGCAACATATTTTGCTATTACATAAATAACATGCATATTTTACAGGTATATCGATTATCAAATTGATGTAGTTTAAATATTTTAAACTTTTATAAATGAACTCTTTTAAAGAACAAAAATTATGTTCTATGAGCCATTCATATAGTTCCTTTTAAGTTGTTTCCAGTTTAATGTTTTCAATTGTGTAGGAAATTTATTATATTTACGTATACACATAGCTACACAGGTTTTTATTTTATATTTTGTGAACCTAAGAATATCGTTTAAAACAAGGTTTTATGTGGATCTCTTCTGTTTCTGGAATTAATGTTATTAGCAGTTTTGAAAAGCTTTTTATTATTTGTTGAAAAAACGCATAAATTACCGCTACAAAAATAAAGTACGCTATTAGTCGTAGCGTAATTTATATAACCTATAGTCTTCCTCGATAAACGGGATATACTCCACCTCCAATACTAAAAAATATATTTTTCAATTCGAACCAGTAGTTCCTGAGATTAGCGCGTTCAAACAAACAAACTTTTCAGCTTTATACTATAAGTGTAGATAGAGTTGGACGGGCACTTTGAAAGAGATAATAATAAAATGGCTATAATTAATGGTAATTTAAAATCAAAACTACCAGCAATTTTCAGGAAAATTTTAGATCTTAGAAATCAACGATAAAAAGAACAATTTTTAGAATATGGGCAGTGGCGTGCAATGAGAGAGGCCTATGTCCAGCAGTGGACTGCGATGATGATGATGATGATGAGGTTAAGAATATATTTTTTGTACGAACAAATCCGAAAAGCAGCTACAGTCTATTGCTTACACGTACTTACAGGCTGCACGATGGCTGGAGCCTGTATGCCGTCTGTATGGACAGGCTGACTCAAAACTATGGTCCTTTCCTCAAAAGGCCTATCCAGACCCTATACTGTTCTCGCACAGTTTTATTTAACTTTGTTTACGGACTTAAAAAAAAAGACACCTCTGTAGTTTGTTTCGGCGTTTCTTCCCAGAGTGAGTCTTAGGAAATGCCGGCTCCTTCTAGCTATAAAGTACGACTTGTAAAAATATCTGAAAAGATTTACTTACCGAAATAAATATCATTTATCATTTATGCTTATTGCTTACCCATCATAAATCCCATGTTCAGCAGATACAACGTATACAAACTAAGAAACGTCTTTATTTAAGCAATTTAACCAGCAACTGAGGACATAGTTAAGCTTTAAAATATTTTCCTTAAGGGCAATAGCGTAGTCCTAAAATAATCAAATAAAACTGACGATCTAATTTATTAGAAACTTGATAATTTTTAAATATCTATGATCGATGCTTTTGTATCTTTATTAACGTTGTTTACTGATATGAGTTACGTGGGTTTTGTCGTGTAATGTTATCAATGTGTGTTTACATGTTTGTCATTAATGAATCATTTGCCATACATGTAAACACCTGCGGCAGGCCAATAATATGTGGATTCTTCCAGGAAAAAGTAAGTTCTTGTAATTAACTTTTTTGCATTTTACTTTGGAATTCACACATTTAATAGGAACATTGAGACTTTTTTTTCCGTGCGGAAATCCCCTCGGATACCACTTATCGGTGGCATGTCGAACTCGAACCGACTAAAACCGCACGCCGTCTCGGGTACTAATGGCCGGGGAACCAGGTATACCCTAGAAAGGAAATCCCTGGTGCCCCGACATACCTCGGGCCATCTACAGATAAGTAGACGACCCCAACGGTGTGGGAACCCCATGTTCCCTCTGCTCCCTGGAAGCGAGCGCTCTCTGCTAGGGTGACAGATGGCCTCACCTGTCACCCCCAGGCCTGCTCTTATGGAGGACGGAGGTCGTTCTGCGACCTCCGGCGCCTGAGTCGCCTGCGGTACCTGGCCGCCTGGCGGCCTGGCCTACAAAGTTACCGATTTATTTATTTATTTTCTATTATACAACCAAAACGCTTATATGCTATATTACATTGGATCAGATATACAGACCACAGATCATTATATAAAACAATACATTAAATTATTTATATAAATTACAAATAAGTAATAATGAATAATTCATCCAATCACACAGAAATAGCCACTAAAGTTAATGCAATAAAGTGTCATGAAATAAAGAATTAAAGCAACAAGATATCATAAAAATTAGCAAGATGTCAATAAATATTAATAGCTATACAGAGTACATTATATGTAGGTAACAGTTATTTATGAGTATTTAAAAAGATCATTACATTTTGCATTAATTTGGGAAACTGACAAAAAATATGTCTGCATCTAAATTATTTTGCAAAAATTGATTAATTAGTGGAATAGCTTTTCCCTTAGGGCTACTAACAGCTTGTGGGGGACGCCACGTTATAGGATCAGTCAGGAGTCGGTGTTATTTGGTACATTCAAATTAATGCATTCACGCACTGATGGATTGTCTACCCTGTCGTGAATTAGCAACAAATAGTGCACAATATGAATAAAGTTTCGTCTAAGCTCAAGAGTATCAAAGCCCACCATCCCTGACACAAACATAGAGGGAAACAAGATAGGGTAATAACCATACTCCCGCATGTGGCAAATTTACGATACCGATACTCCTATAACCCAATATACCATCTCAAAATACTATTGAAATGTTGTAGGAAGCTTTGTACTTTTTTAAATTGTATTTACTAACATATCCATGTCATTTATAAGAAGTAAATTAAGATATGTTGTATATGATTAAGAATACAATCGGCTGATAATAAGATAAAAAGACAGATAGAGTAGAAAAACAAATCAGAATGGTATGACGTGAGCGAATTGCAAATATAAAATGACTGGCACAAATTCATGATGATTAAAAACTTGAATGTAAATACTCAAATCATGATTCAGATAATTAAATCATTTGTATTATAGATTATGAAATAAAAAATTTACAAACAAACATATATACAACATAGGCGCGAAAAACATAACCTTGAAAAGAATTGGAACCATCTCGTTATTTTTTTGTTTAATCCACTGGCAATAACTGCGACAAGGGGGTTTATGAATTATCTCAAGGCACAACGACACTCTGAAAACCTGAAGGATAAGGATGTCAGCATTATACGTTGTCCCACACAAAAAGCTCTGAGGGTGTCCATTAGAACTTTTGATAGGTAAAAAGGGCTATAAAAGCAGCCGCCTGCCTATCGGGCCAATCAATATAGGCCATCCTATCGCCTACCGCAGCAATTATCTGCCACCAGAGGTCCTCACTCTCCGGCATCCAGCGGCCTCGTCGATGGCTGATAACGCCGCCGACATCCCCTACGCTTGGGATCGTCCCTCTCCCGATCCCGTTCAGCGGTCTCTTTCTGGAGCATTACATCTTCACAGAATGAGACCACTACCAGCATGGCAGCAATGATTGCTGGCAGGGACAGGTCTTATCCGATTTGGTCGACCAGGACCTCGCGTTCAGACCCAGTTCGTTCCACCGCATAGCAAGTCTGATCACAGACTCTAGCGTAGACGGGTTAGTCCTGCAGAGTTGGCTCCCTTAGTCGTCTCTTACGATACCCACTGCATGAATAGGGGTGGTGACACTGCGTATTCTTAATACATCATCACATGGTCAAATTGTGTGTATGTGAATACGACAAAAGGCTTCTGGGCGAGCTACGATGTGTCAAGCAGCGCGCTGTGACTTATGATCAGCTACGTCTGTATGGAGATTTCTCAATACAGCTCTCCTGGAAAGTAGCCATTTTGCATATTGTTCTATGACAGCGCCACTGTGTTGATACTGATCTGTAGCTTTATCATAATAACATTACAAGTACGCCATTACACGACAAGCTTATCTATGGGTATCTACTATTTTCTAAGTATATATAAAAGAACTTTTTAAACGATTTTTGTCTTCAGTTGATCGTTAAAACACCACAATGAAGTGGTTTTTAATATTTTGTTTTTGCTTATACGAGGTGTCTGCTAAACATGAAATATATGATGGGTATGATTTTATATGTTATTTTTTTAGTAAACGTGAGGCCTATAGGGCCTATGTAAAGCAGTGGACTATTAAAGGCTATTGATTTTATGATGTGATGTAAAATGTGGTTTACTATTATTATAAGACTGTTGTAAATGATACTATGGCGGTGAAACATTAATGCCAAATTTTTAGCATATTTTGCAAAAGGTGTGGGCATTATCTTGTATTTAAATAGACTTCAAACCTGGGAAAAGAAAAAATTTTGGCCTTGGAAAATTTAAACTTAAACTACAATTGTTTAATTACTATAAATTGGTCTAGGCTTTCTAAGCTTCAGTCAGTTACAAAATTAATAATGTTAGTGGTAAAATTTAACATTTTTCGCAACATGTGAAACGAAAAACAAGATTATGTAATTATTATTAATCTAAGTAAAGCTAATTTTTCTTTTTTAACACAGAGGTCATATCCCAATTTCGTAACTTAAAATTTCATTTGGAAGGATATATTTTCAAAGCATAATACCTAGCAACAATTAGAAACTTTTGTTTTTATGATTTTATATAAATTTAATAAATTTATTCTATAAAAATATTTGCCATAACTTTTTAGTGCTAGTAAGAAGTTTTCAGTAGTCTAGTCTATTTGTATACAACAAAAAGAATAATTATTGAACTTTTTTCAGATATGTCGTTTACGAAGTATACCCAAATAATTTAGAGGATATTTCATCGCTAAACGAGGTTGTTAACGAGCTAACCTTAGATATCTGGTCTTATCCTAATCTTGTTAAACCTGGACAAATTTTTGTACCTGGACTTCAAAAAGAGCCTTTTGAAAATGCTCTAAAGAAGGCTAGAATACAATACAAAGCTACAATCGAAAATATCACAGAGTAAGTCATTTTTTTGTCTTTTTCTGAAATGTGTTAATTTAATAATAAAATTGTTGATTGAATCCTAAAAAAAAAACTCAATAATTAAGTTCATCCCTTAATATTTATGCAGTAACTTGTGAGTTTTACGGATAGTTCTTCTGAGTCTTACTCTATCCTTAAAATGTGTATTTTTCTTCAAAACTTACGTACTATTATCATTTTTATTATAAAACGTGTAATACAAGTGTTATGCTTTCTATAAAAATGTGTTTGTATTTTCAGGCTGTTAGAGCTCGAAGAACAAAGTCTGGCTGCAGCTGCCTCAAGACAAAACCATACCAGTTCACACCGTGCAGTAAATGAAATATACAGCTTCGATCAGGTATTAATCTATTTTTTACACGTTTTATATTAACTTCACTTGTATGTTTGTTGTAACCGACTCCTTTGGGCGTGATTTTGACTGACTTTAAACGGTCAGAATTCGTTCAAACTTTGTAGATATATCGAGGACCGATGACAATACACTAATTAAAAAAAAATAGTTTAAAAAAACATGTTTTTTATAGAAAACCAAATTAAAAAATTGAAAATAAATTTTAATAAATTTGACAACAGGCACCAAACGCTTTTTTTTTGTTTTTTTAAACTATTTTTTTTTTTGTTTTTGTGACCTATTTTTTTTATTTTTTTTTATTTTTAATTCTTAACATAACATCGTAACTTTCGAACAATTATTTTGTAATGAACGTTTTTAAAGCAAGATGTAATATAAGGTACTTCATACCTGTTAGAATATATTGTTTATTAAGAGTGTTCCGTATTTTTTTAATTGGGACTAATCCCACCCATTCGCCTACCACTGTAACTCCTATACACCAGGATCCACAGCAGTGACCCACGAACACATCGAGTTATGACACTCGGGAAATCCCAGGAAGAAATCAATCAGAAGAAAATTGGAGGAGTTGGAAATATAGTAAATCCACTTCCATCCTTAGTAAAGCGGGAGACAAAATGAAGTAAAATAGACATACACCCTTTTAAACAGGGAAGCACCACGGCCACAAAATATGTATGTGTTCCGTATGTATAAGTCTAACATATTCTTTTTACTAAAATATATAAATTTTTTACAGGTTACTACTTACTTAGCAGACATTGCCAGGAGATATCCTCGTGTGGCCAGACTTGTCAATGGAGGTAGCAGTTTTCAAGGACGACCAATACAGTACCTAGAAATTTCAACAACCGCTTTTCAGGTAATTTATTTCGTTTTTATTTAGGTTTTTGAAATTCCGTTCTCTTCGAAAAAAAAAACAACCGTTCAAAATCGTTTTTGATCAACCAGATATAAATCATCTCGTGTCTATTATTTTAAAAACCTTCTTGTTCTTGTCGATCCACATCACATCATCACATCAACAGCCTTTAATAGTCTGGACATAGGCCTCTCCTTAGAAAGGAGGTTTTGGCCTACTATACTACGCTGGCCAGACGGGTTGCTATAGGGTTTGTTTCAAGTTTTCCTTCTCTCTGCAGTGCTGTTATTCTGCGTAGTTTCCTCCCTTAATCGTCAGTTATGACACCCACGGGATGAATAGGGGTGGTGACATTGTGTATTCTTAATCCGCCACAATACGGACAATCAAAAGCGATGAATATATCAGTTTTTTTTATTAGTATTTCATTTTTATAATGTCAGTTCAGTAAATTTTACTTTTTTTTTTCAGAATCCACTTAAACCTGTCATCATGGTGCAATCTCTACTGCACGCTCGTGAGTGGGTATCTTTGCCACCATCCCTTTATGCCATTCACAAGTTAGTGGTAGATGTGACAGAATCTGATGTGCTGAATAATATCGATTGGATCATCATGCCTGTCGCCAACCCTGATGGATATGAATGGTCTCGTACAAATGTAAGAATTCCTCAAACTATCTAACTAAACAGATTTTTTACTGTAATTATAAGCCCATACATGAACAAGTTTACTGTAAGCAGTACATGGTAAATATAGTTCCTTTTTTATCAACACCTTGTCACTTTTATTGGTAGGTTGTTTTTATCATCATTTCAGCATCATCTTTAGAGTACTCCTATTTTTCTAATTGCACATTTATAAAAGTCTCATCATTTTTTTCTACTTTACAGGCCCGTTTCTGGCGCAAAAACCGTCGCACAGGTTTGACGATTGGCAACGTATGTATGGGCGTAGATCTTAACCGAAACTTTGATGTCAACTGGGGCACACTCTCCAGCAATAACCCGTGCCAGGATACCTATCACGGTAGAGGACCTAACTCTGAACCTGAAACCGAAGCCGTTGTTAAAGTTTTACAGAAATACCAAAGCCGCATGGCCATGTATATAGACCTGCACAGTTTTGGGAGTATGATTTTATATGGGTATGGTAATGGAACTATTCCTCAAAATGCAGGGCTACTCAATGTAGCTGCTGATAGAATGGCTCAAGCTATTGACAATGTTAAATGGGCCAATAAACCAAATTATCGTGTTGGAAATTCTGTCGCCGTTTTACATTATATGGATTCTGGTACATCGAATGATTTTGCCCAGTCTATTGGCATTCCACATTTTTTTTGTTATGAATTGCCAGGTTTGTTAGGGGCTACAGGTCTAAATGGTTTTTTGGTGGACCCAGGTTTTATTAATCAGGCTTCTGTTGAAACTTGGGCAGGTATCGTAACTGGCGCAAGATATATTTTAAGACGTTAATTAAAATTATGATCTTTAAAACTAGTTATATTTAAGGTATTTTTTATAATAAAACATTTTTTTTCCATTTGTTATTTGTTATTAAGTAGCCATTTTCACATTTATCTGTTTTAAGTCATAATTTCTAAAAAAAAGCCTGACAAGTACGAGTCGGACTCGCCCAACGAGGGTTCTGTACAAATTTGTAACCGAAAGCTATCATCACAAAAATAATTAAAATGTGTTTAAGCTTGTGCCAATGAAGCCCTTTTATACGATACCCCACATGACACGGTTAACTCAATTTAAAATTTGGACCGCCGTTCCTTGCATAAAGACCCTGTTTTTTTATGATTTAATTATAAATGTGTAGTTTTCAGATTTTTCCCTATACTTGTAGTATAAGACGGTATTCCTTACCAAATTTCATAGTTCTAGGTCAACGGAAAATACCTTATAAATTTGATTCCCTTGAGAGTGTCGAAATACCTATACGTTTACCTTTTTTCGTTAACATAGAAGTTTGATTATTTGACAACTTCTATGTGTGGATCTGAGTATATCGTTTTAATTTCAACTCCATACCTGAGTGCGTTCCCGAGATAAAGGGTCTTGACAGATGGACAGTCTGAGGAACAACAAAGTGATCCTACAAGGGTACCGTTTTTCCTTTTGAGGTACAGATCCCTCAGTGTCTTAGTAGTAAACACTTGATATATAAGTATATGCAAACATACCATATTATTGAAATAAACATGGTATGTATATTATTTTCGTACCTGCACAACGCCAAATCCAACCACAGATTAAGGCATTAGTTTTTTGCCAAATAATTTTTAGTGTAACTTAACCTTTTTTGATAAATGTGTGATATAAATAAGTAAAAACTCTTCCTTGGCAGTCAGGCAAAAATATTAAATATAGTTTTTTTAACAATTATAATAAAGTTGGAACACCTCTTGATAAACACAAATTGAAGAGCGTACTCTTTCCTCAAAGGCACACGCTTGTTGACGCCAGATTTGCAGGAGTTCATGGGCTGCGGTAGTCACTTTCCATCAGGTGACCCATCTGCTTATTTGCCCAGTCTAACATAAAAAAATATAATTGAAAACTTAAAGCAAGGTAAGTCATCCTTTTTAAGACATATTTTTTACAAAATGTATATACTCGTACGTAACAATAATTATCTAACAATAATTATCTGGGCAACAATTTTTATCGCCCAGATCAATCATACCAATTTTGCGCAATAAAAAAAAAACATTATGCAGTAATTTAATTCATAGTAGCAATAAAACCTAAGATACCAATACGACAATGAAAATAATATTATAAAAATAGGAAGACAAAGGATTGGGGATCAAACTGCTTTTTGAATTAGGGGACAGAAAAAATTTCAAGTGTAGGCCTATTTTAGTACTGTCCTGTCAGTAGCTAACAAAGTTTTCAAAAAGATCACGCCTATACAATCTAATTACTGTAATTCAAACAATACCATACACAATCAACAAAACGATTTCTTATTATATTTCTTATATTTCTTTATTGACGACCGAATGGCGTAGTGTTTTGTGTAACGGACTGCTATTCCAAAGGACGCGGGTTCGATTCCCGCTCAAGTCAAACATTTGTGTGCATGAACATTTAATGTTTGATTTGGTCTGGGTGTTTCTATGTATAATATGTATGTATTTACAAAAAAAAGTATATATGTATTTATATCAGTTGTCTAGTACCCATAGTACAAGCTCTGCTTAGTTTGGGACTAGATTGCGTTGTGTGAATGTATTACAATATTATATTCAAATTCAAATTCAAATTCAAATTATTTATTTCGGACTATTACATCCATATAGTGTTAGTAACAATGTGTTTTAAAAACTAGTGTTAGTATTGAAATTATATTTATTCGTTTATTATAATTTTTTTTATTTTACGTGAATGGAAATCCACCTCCGAATAAAGGAAGAGTCCCATCTATCTGAAAAAACATTCAGGATGCGGTTGGGGGAGGAGCGCAAACGCACCAGCATGGAGGCGCAACGTTTCCGCATTATAGCGGAGAAACCGTCGACCTGTGCCTCTGCGAACATGACTGACGCGCTACATCGCCATGGCGACCCCAAAAGCACCCTGAATGCATTATTATACTGGACACGCAGGTCGTTGTATGCCCTCTGCGTAAACTTAGTCCACAGGCTGCAGGTGTAAAAAGATTGGCAGAAGGCTTTAAACAGCATTATTTTAACATTGCTAGTACAGCGTGCAAACCTACGGGCCAGCATATTGCAGCGGACAGCCAACGACCTGCGTTCCCTATCAATATCCACATTATCTTTTAAGTCATCGGTGACCCAGTGGCCCAAATACTTAAACCTCTGAACCCGGCCTAGAGGAGATCCAAAGAGTGAGAGTTCCGGAAGCTGTTGGTATGTTAAGGTACTCGTCTTGAAAACTAGCCATTCACTCTTATTGGTATTGTACTTGAGCCCGTGTGCCACCGCATAACTTTCGCAGATTTTAAGTAATTTCCTCAACGCGTTAATAGACGGGCTCAGCAGCACCATATCATCAGCGTAGCTAATGTTGTTTACACAAACACCATCCACGTGACAACCTGTTCTGGTGCTATTAAGCTCTTCTATCAATTTGTTGATGTACAGATTAAACAAACGAGGGGAACTCAACCCACCCTGTCTTACCCCACATTCTAACCCATATAAGTCAGAATATGAGCCCGCCCATTTCATTCTATTTTTTTGATTACTGTACCAATATCTCAACAGTGAAATGACATTACCCGGGATAGAAGTATCGTGAGCAAGCTTATGCCAGAGCAGGTCGTAATTTACTAAGTCGAATGCCTTCGATAAGTCCAAAAAACAAGCAATTATTGGGGTCTTTCTATCTGTGTAATATTGGACAGTCTGCTTGAGACTTAGGATAGCACTTTCAGTGGATAAATTCGCCCTGAAACCAAATTGGTTATCCTCTAGAACTATGTGTTTGGCTAGTATTTGATCAATTAGACTGTCCAATACATTAGCAGTCACAGTTGCCAGCGAGATGGGTCTGTAGTTGGAAACATCGGAGGCATCCCCAGTTTTATTTTTTATAATTGGTACAACAATCGTCTCAGTAAGTTCAGCAGGTAGGTAACCATGACTTAAACACAGGCTGAAAAACATAGCAAGTACTCTTGGTAGGTGTACTCCTGAATATTTAAGATGTTCGACGCTGAGGCCGTCGTGACCGGGGGACTTGCCCCGCACCATATTTTGTATAGTTTTCGCTACTTGCTCAGCAGAGAATTGGACAATTCGAGTCCCAGTCACGGACGTCCCAGCCTCGCTGAACACTATATTATTAGTGTCAGACAGAGGTGAGCTTACTTTAAAATTATCTAGGAAAGCATTCACAATTTCTGTGGGCTCCGTCACACCCGCGACGCTCACCGGTACTCCCGACTTATGTTTTAATTTGTTTGTTAGCTTCCAAAATTTATCAAATTGTTTTTTTTTATGACATGTGGCTAATATATCCATTTTAATTTGCACTTGGTTATTTTAACAATATTTTAACTTATATTTAAAATTGTTTCTTGTCCTACACATATTTTCATAAATATAACCGCTAGTGGGTTTGTTGTGCAACATCCACATTCGATACGACAGTCGTGCGTCACGGTGAGCTTCGCGAACGTGCTTGTTCCACCCTATTACATGCTTACCCTTATGATTCCTTTTAACAGACATAGAGTGCGCGCGTACCGCGCCTTCTTTTAAAATAGAAATAAAGCTATCATACATATTATCTAATAACAAACGATGTTCGGTATTGTGACGTATGTTAACAGCACATTCATGAAACTCTGATGGAGATTCTATTTGTTTTAACTTATCATTACAAAATTCAAAATAATTATTTATCTGGTCAGTATCCCTTTCCCCCCACACGACTTTGTTGTAGGAAAAAGTTGAATTTACAATTTTAGGTTTAATTAAATTAATATTACATTCTATTAGTAACGGAACATGGTCTGACGCATAAACATCATACAAAATGGATGCATTATTCACTAAATGTCTAGCGGAGTCAGTGACAACACAGTGATCCAGCCATCGGAGGGATCCGTTGGCCGAACTAATAAAAGTATGAGAGTCCAAGGGCAAAAGCTCTGTATCAATACAAGACCATGATTCATCATTACAGGTATTAAGTAACTCACTTGAAAACCGTGTTCCGGGGTGTGCATTAAAGTCTCCCAATATAAATACCGTTTCCACTCCACTGCTTTCGATCACAGAAATAATCTCACTAAGACACTGTGTAAACTCGGTAAGATTATCAGCACAGTCTGTGGGCATATACACACAAAATATTAACATGGACCGATTACCCTGCTCTATTTTAATACACACTATTCGATCACTAACACAATGTACGACCGACACCGACGCAAACGACGATTTCTTCCACAAGAGCGCTACGCCCCCGTATGGCCTTCCAACAAGTACTCCGGCAGAGGTGTCCACAGCTGACTTTCCGGTATATGCAAAGTCTCCATGAATAGTTGCCAGATATGGAACATCATGGGGCAGGAGCCATGTCTCCTGCAATGCTAGCACGTCGACCTGGTTACATAATCTTCGAACGCAATCAGCTGATCGAATAACATTTTTGCAGTTAAATGTACAAAGTTTGATGTTCAACATTGAACACATTATGTTTTCGGAGTGTTTACATCACTGTCCTGTTTATTTACTATCTGTGTATTCTTTTTTTTAAAGTAAATAAACCGTCTAAACTGAATACCTACGGGCCATATTTTGTCATCCAGGAATGTACTTAATTTATATTTTGAAATAAACAGTTTAAATGCATATATTATATATTATTATTATTTCACTTAAAGATATGCAACTGACGCTGGTTATACCTTGCCACAGCCTATTATTACTGCCTGGATGTTAAGTATGCTAAGAATGCTCAGCATCTTTTGCGATCTCACAAAAGCATTTGATTGTGTAAATCATGAAACTTTGCTACTAAAAGTAACAAAAGCTTAATCATTACGGGCGTTTCTGTAAGCAAGCCCTCTATTTGCTGAAACAGATCGGGTTGAGGTTAAAGATGTCAACTTAATAGGGTCGAAGTTGAAATTAAGCGTTCCTCAGGGTTTAACGTAGGACTCGTTCCTTTTTCTTGTCTCTACTAATGACCGTTTCCATTTATAATATGACCAACCCAAATTATTTGCCAATAACACATCTTTTTGAAATAGATAGACGAACTAACAGCCACCAATTAACAGATTACAGTCACTGCACGACTAGTTTACTTTAGTTATTTTAGGCATTTAATAATAGAGCATGCCCCAGGTTTGTAAGACTAGCTATTGCAAACGGTTTATTTCACCCCTTAGAAATCCTTTCCTAATCGATGTTTACAACATAAAAAGTACCAGCTGATAAAATGACAAGTTTGAAGCCGTAGCGGTTTAGGCCCTGCGTTTTATGGATCAGTCAGTCAGGCAAGGTAAGTAACATTAAATGAAGAAAACAGTTATTATTAAGTAAAAGTAGAGAGAATATGCCTCTAGAATTTTCCCCCTTTTTTTTCCGTGCGGAAATTCCCTCGGGTACCACCTATCGGTGGCATGTCGGACTTGAACCAACTAAAACCGCACACCGTCTCGGGTACTAATAGCCGGGGAACCAGGTATACCCTAGAAAGGAAGTCCCTGGTGCCCCTATATACCTCGGGCCATCTACAACAAGTAGACGACCCCCCACGTGTGGGAACCCCATGTTCCCTCTGCTCCCTGGAAGCGGCCCCCGGCCTGCTTCTGCTAGGGTGGCAGATGGCCTCACCTGTCACCCCCAGGCCTGCGCTTATGGAGGATGGAGGTCGATCTGCGTCTAGAATATTCCCCTAAATGTGAAAAGAAGAAGGTGTGAAAGATATAATTATATTATTTAATTTGTTTCTAGCTGTAAGTTTCCCATGCATAAAAGAAATAAATGAATTTGTTTCCCATAACCGGGAACCTATGGCCTTCTTTAATTTTTTTGAGCTGGAAGGCGTATATAATTATATACTCGTGAACGAGTGTCTTTGGTCGAGGTCAGTCGTTTCTTGACAACTATTACTTGAAAATATACTTTTGGCAAACTATTCAGATTTTGAACAACTGGGCGACTTCACTCCTGGCTTTTTCTAACTGGTACCCATGATTAGTTTTTCTTCTGATTAATTTGATAGATATATACGGTACACTGATCTATTACTGATTTGAAAGTACGTGCTGATAAGTCTAAATATGATTAAGTTTGTTTGAAAGTACGTGCTGATAAGTCTAAATATGATAAAGTTTGTTTGCTGATATAGACTGTACCTACTTTCTACACCTATGGATCACAAAATACCTATTTGCTTAGATATTTATTTGTTTATTTAACCTTTGTGTCGTACGCTTAGATCTTTTAAAACAATGAAACAATATATTAAATTTGTTGTCGATTTTTTTTATTAGAACTTAGTTTTAATTCTTTAGTCAAATTTTTGTTTTTTTCTTACTGCTTTTTCTAAAAAAACACGGGCAGACGTTTCTTGTACGTTGAGCAAGAATTGAAAAACTAGTAAACTAACTTTTAAAACATTTTTATTAAATCTTTTCAAGGTACTCTTCACCTGCCTCTGTACAAAGTTTCATGCGTCTAAACCCGTTTTCGACACACTTGTTCCAGTCCGCCACAGACATCTCTTCTACGGCCTTCTCGAACGCTGTTAGCGCATCTTCCAGTGACGAAAATTGTATCCCTTTCGACCGATCAGTCAAACCAACATGAAAAAAAGCCCGCGTCGACCGATACATCGAAACAATAGGAAAAAAATAGTGTCATCCGATCAGTCGAACCAACAAGACAAAAAGTATTCCACGTTGTACGATCAGTCGGATCACACGGTGATGGCTGAAATAGCAACCACAGCTTACGCTCTCATCTCACGCCGTGCTGTTGGTCTTAATACTACATTACATAAACTATTTGTTATGTTCCTCATAACCTTTGTAACCCAAATCAAAAAGAAACACTATCTCAAATAAAATACGTCTACTTCGTGGAGTATGCCAATTATTCGTTTTTAAATCCTCGAGAAAAATCCATTTGTATTTCTCTTAAATACTTAAACTGTCCAATCACTATCATAAATATATCACACATCGTACATCGCCACATCTCCAATAATATGTGTTCTAGGGAGGAGTTTAATAATATCTGTCATGCATGAACGCATCAAAATATTTCATCGTTCATAGGCATTATATTAAAGTGGTGTCAAAAAGATGTGACAGGAAAAGTACTGACAACCTCCCAAAGCAAAAATATATGATGGCATTAATTCCAAAACAGTGTGATATGTTTTGGAGAGTCGTTTATAATTCTATTTCTGTGAGCATTTGCATTGATTCCTCGGTAATAATACCTATGCATAAATATATGATGATAACTAGATGTCAAAAATATATTAGGTACATAATTCTGTGGGAAAGGGTTTTCCCCTGGGATAGGGCCAGATTACAGATAGTGTCAATTCAGGGAGGACCTGAAATAACATGGTCCGGGTCCTCCCAGAGTACCCGGACCATGTTATTTCTCCCTGAGGCCGGCTGAGGGTTACTCCCTGAGGCCGGCCGTCGGGGTGGTTTTACTGGATTGATTGAACCCGTCACCCGTCTTCCAGGTTTGTTTAACTTGACGTAAATATACACAGATATACATTATACACAGATAATTGCAGTTGATCTTGAAAATAATTATAATATCTTGAATAATCACTAACAGGAAAACGTATTAGTGATTATTTACGATATCGAATAGTGTAATGGATGAAGATAACAAAAGAGTTCCAGAAATTAGAAATAAGGAGTTGTTTTAATTTTAAAATCTTTAGCTGCAATGTTAATATATAAATATTTTGTTAAGTCAACAGAAAACTTTTTTTTTTTTATATTCCAAGACCATATTATTTCTTTTTTTTTTGTTTTGCTGGAATACAACCAAATTGTGAATACAAGGATAGGAGGATGAAGCACATCTACTATATAAAAATAAGTCGGGTTTTCCTTCCTGACGCTATAACTCCAGAACGCACGAACCGATTTCCACGGTTTTACATTCGTTGGAAAGGTCTCGGGCTCCGTGTGGTTTATAGCAAAGAAAATTCAGGGAAAATTTCAACAGAAAAGCGGCAAAATCTTTTTTCACATACAGCGCTACAAACCAATATTTTAAGTAGATGGCGCCGGTGCGTGATACATTGTTTGACAGCTACTCATTGTTCTCTGCTCAGTTAATTTCATGTGACAAACCGGTATTGTGTTCACTGTGAAATTGTGAAAAAAAAGTAAAAAAAATAAGTTATTCGTTTCCTAACATTTCAATTGGAAACCATCAAATCAATCACGTGTATTGTGCAAATTTGAAAATCTTTTTTCACATACAGCGCCATCTCTGATACATAGCATGTACTACAAACCAATATTTTAAGTAGATGGCGCCGGTGCGTGATACATTATTTGACAGCTGCTCATTGTTCTCTGCTCAGTTAATTTCATGTGACAAACCGGTATTGTGTTAACTGTGAAATTGTGAAAAAAAAAGTAAAAAAAATAAGTTATTCGTTTCCTAACATTTCAATTGGAAACCATCAAATCAATCACGTGTATTGTGCAAATTTTTATTCAATTTTAACAGCAGGCATTTGTCTTTAAGGTGGTAAGTTGAACTGTGTAAATTATGTGGATCGTGCATTTGAGGTTAAATTCACCACTCTATCCATAGTCCAAAATGCCTAGAGGACGACGTGCGAACATCGGCCGCCGCACAAGACATGCAAGCCAGCAGCAAGTGTATTCACAGAACATAAGCGAAGAAAGACAAAATATAATAAGAGAAAATGCCCGATTGAGACAACGCGTGAGCACACGAAGATCATTGGCATCATACAATCGCTTGGCATTCCAATATGATCCCACTGCGAACTACAGTGATGATAAAAATTTAGATATTGGACCAATGACGACTATATGCCGATATTGCAATGCGTTAAAGTTCAAAAGAGAAACGGCTGGATTGTGCTTCGCAAGTGGAAAAATCAAACTGGATCCATTACTTACACCACACAGCCACTGAAACCATTGTTCGATGGAAGTGATCCCGATTCCAGCCATTTTCTTCAACACATCCTTGAATACAATAACTGCTTTCGCATGACTTCCTTTGGAGCTAATATCATTCGAGAAGGCGGCTTCATGCCGACTTGCATGGTAAAAGATACAACACACATAACCAATCACTCACACCAACACAATGAATTGCAACACATAACAACTACATATACACCACACACTACACCATCACACGATCAGAAGTTACACCGTATTCTTCAACAAATGATTGTTTGCAATTACAGATACAAGGACAAATATATCATTTGCATGGTTCAATGGTACCAACACCAGATAAACCGCATCAATTTCTGCAAATATATTTCATTTCGTCGATGGTGGATCAGCTGAATGTGCGGTGCAATATAGGGAACACAACAGTTAAAGAGACGAATTATTGAACAGTTGCAAGCATTTTTTCACGCTAATAATGCTGTGGTTAATATGTTCAAAACAGCATTGGAAAGCATGCACGATGCATTCAACCAAGAATTAAATCGAGAGCTGCAATACAATGTTGATACATTGCAGGAATTCGTTCGAAATAATGTGCCGTTGCTGAATGAACAGCAAAAACAAGTATACTAAACATTAATGCAAGCGGTGGACAATAATACTGGTGGTCTATTCTTCCTGGACGCACCTGGAGGAACAGGGAAAACATTTGTCATTTCATTGATTTTGGCCACTATTCGATCAAGATGTGACATAGCTTTGGCGTTAGCATCATCTGGAATTGCGGCGACTCTTCTAGATGGCGGTCGTACTGCAAATTCTGCGCTTAAGTTGCCACTCAATTCAAACACAATTGATACTCCAACATGCAATATTTCCCGATCCAATGCAATGGGAAAATTGTTGATGCAATGCAAGCTCATTGTTTGGGATGAGTGCACAATGGCACATAAGAAATCACTTGAAGCACTTAACTTCACACTAAAGGATCTTCGGCGAAATAACAACCTCTTTGGCGGCTTGATGATATTGTTGGTAGGCGATTTCAGGCAGACGTTGCCAGTAATTCCCCGTGGAACGCCTGCAGATGAATTGAATGCTTGCCTGAAGGCATCACCTTTATGGAATAACGTAAAAACATTATCGCTAACCACTAATATGAGAGTTCAACTTCAAAATGATCAAAGTGCTGCATAATTTTAGAAACAATTGTTAGCTGTTGGAAATGGAAAAGTCCCAGTTGATGCGACATCTGGATTAATCACTCTTATTTTTATTGTAGACTCTCAATTAGCTCTTATTGAAAATGTTTTCCCAAACATTAGTGAGAATTATCAGAATTATGCTTGGTTAAGTCAACGAGCAATTCATGCCGCAAAGAATAATGATGTACACGCACTGAGTTTCACCATTCAATCAAAAATTGCTGGCGATTTGGTGACATACAAATCCGTTGATTCCATGACAAATCCCGATGATGTAGTAAATTATCCAACGGAGTTTTTGAACTCTCTGGAGTTACCAGGATTTCCACCACATAACTTGCAACTCAAAGTTGGTACAGTTATTATGATATTGCGTAATTTGAATCCACCGCGACTTTGCAACGGTACTCGACTTTCGGTAAAAAGACTTATGCCGAATTTCATTGAGGCAACCATTATTAACGGAAAGTACGCAGGTGAAAATGTATGTATTCCTCGAATACCAATGATTCCGACTGATCTTCCGTTTGACTTCAAACGATTGCAATTTCCAGTTCGCCTTGCGTTCGCAATGACAATTAACAAGTCGCAAGGCCAATCGCTTAGTGTTTGCGGGATAAATTTAGAAAATCATTGTTTTTCACATGGGCAGTTATACGTTGCGTGCTCACGAGTTGGGAAACCATCCGCTTTGTTTGTGTTAACGTCAGACCAAAAAACAAAAGATGTGGTTTACCAAAGAGCACTTCAATGAAACGGATAATTTGCGGACACGTATAACGCTTCGATTCAGTATTTACTTTGGATTCACTTTCATTTACTTAGAGAAGTTCAACTAAATAACACTTCATTTTTGTAATCGACATGAATTCATTACTGTTGTGAAATGAAATAATTTTTTTCCTTTTCAAATATAAAACAAAAAAAAATATTCTTCTTCTTTTAATCACCAAACGAAATGTTACATAAAACGAAGCCATCTGGTGGCGAAACGGAGTTCGCCGGGTTTGCTAGTACAGTATAAAAGTAATGGTTGGCCTAGAAAAACAACAACGGCTCAAGATTATGAAACAATTGAATCAGGGAATTCAAGTGGAACGAGCCAATAGAGACATATTAGATGAACCAATTTAAATTAATTCAGGAAGTTACGAATGTTAATCAAGTATTAACTACAATAATACGTGGTTGACTCAAATCTGCTGGTCTAAAAACAAAGTCTGAACCAAAAGCCATTAATTCCAGACCGACGTAAGAAACTTCGATTAACACCCCAGCACCCGCACCGTGAATTGAAGGAAGACAAACAAATAGTTCTCTCTCTTGATTTTGCATATGTAAGAATAACTGTAAGAATAACGGGTTATTGATCCCTGCAAGGAAAGTATCCTGAAACCCAGTGAAGTTGGCCAAAGGACATTTAACTCGGTTCGATTCCAGCGTGTTGTAAGTGAAATATTCGTGGTGGCCTTAAAGTAGTTATGTATTTTTATAATCTCTCTCTCTCCATTGCAGGGTAGCGAAGACTAGAAGTGATCAACATGAAAATGATGGATGATTGTTATCAAGTGGCAGCAGATCATGTCGCAAGAACATCTGTGGCTATCGTTACGGATAGTTGGATCCCTAAAAAGTCCAACAAAAGTTTTTCTACAGAATTTCGATATCTCCTACTTGAGTTGTGGGGGTCTAGTGGCGTGTAAGAAACTAGCCGTATTGTAGTAGACTCAAAGCCGACCCCAACCTAGTTTTGAGAAAAAAAGGCTCGGAGAAGAGCAGAACACTACTGGGTGCGAATACTGAACCACTGTTACTGATGACTGAATATGACAAATTTCCACTAGAATTCTTTAAAATGTTCAGGCATATGAAAATTTTAAATATTAAAATGATCTGTTTTGTAAATTTATAATTTCTTAAGCACCTATACATTTTTAGGACTCGAATATTTCGTTTTTTTTACTATTTTTAGCTTTACCATTACTTTTCATACGGAATGTACAATTTGTCAAAAACATCATAACTGCATAACCCATACTTTACATAATATTTCAAACGATAAAATCTCATCGACATTCTATTTACACCACTAAAAATCTCAGCGTACGCGAATGGAATATTCTGAATTCGAAATTGATCCCGAGCTGAGCGGAAAGTTTCGCGCCAAGAAGAACGATGGTGAATTTCCAATTAAAAGCTCCAAGTTTACATGCACGGCGACCTCAGTGGAGGAATATGCAAATACTGATCATACTTTAAAATTCATAAAACTTTGTACCTAATAGTATTAAGTGGAGGAATATTAATGGAGCGGCTAATTTAGATTTGTTCGTATATTGCTCGTTGTTGAATCGAATCTTACCAGGATATGCGGTTTAGAAAATTCATGAATTTGAAATGATTAAAAATGCTAAAAGTTGAGGGTCACTAGTTGTACAAGACGTTAGATGGCGGAGCGGGACCGGGAGAGATTTAGAACTCTTCTGGTCCGCTAAGCTCGGGAATGGGCCAGATACCGCAGACGAATCAGGCGTCGTAGGTCGCAGAACGACCTCCATCCTCCATAAGCGCAGGCCTGTGGGTGAAGGTGAGGCCATCTGTCCCTTAGCAGAAGCAGGCCGGGTGGGCGGCGCGACGCGCCATTAAGTTTGAAGAAAGGGAACACCGTGGCTCCCACACACGAGGGGGTCATCTACATGCCGAAGATGGCCCGGGGTTCCTGGGATTTCCTTCCTAAGGTAAACGTGGTTCCCCGGCTACCGGTACCTAAGATGGCATGCCGTTTTTAGTCGGTTAGAGTCCAACATAACCTCCGGTGGGTGGTATCGGAGGGAATTTCCGCACAGAAAAAATAATTGTACAAGACGTTCCTAAGTAATAAAAAAAAAAGTTGTAAAAAGGTTTTTGAAGTTAAACGGTTTTATAGAAAAGTAAGATAATGACGACCGGATGTCGTAGTGATTTGTGTAACGGACTGCTATTCCAAAGGTCGCAGGTTTGATTCCTGCTCAAGTCAAACATTTGTGTGCATGAATATTTAATGTTAGATCTGGGTGTTTCTATGTATAATATGTATGTATTTAAAATAAAAAAGTATATATGTATTTAAATCAGTTGTCTAGTACCCATAGCACAAGCTCTGCTTAGTTTGGGACTAGATTGCATTGTGTGAATGTGGTAAAATATTATTATTAATATTATTATTATTTAGATAATGTTATAAGCAATAAACAATAATTTGGTTGGTCCTAAACACCAGTCATCACAATACTCCCTTCATAAATCGACGGCTTTAATCAGACTCAAAAAAAAACATGGCGCCTAGCGTTACCTGAATAAATATGTTAATAGTATTTATAATTAAATGAGCGGTGGACAATTCAGTCGGTTCGATATATATATAATTTTTTATGATGTAGGGGGCAAACGCGCCTCACCAGGGACTTCCTTTCTAGGGTATATCTGGTTCCCCGGCTATTAGTACCCGAGACGGCGTGCGGTTTTAGTCGGTTCGAGTCCGACATGCCACCGACAGGTGATATACGAGGGGATTTCCGCACGTAAAAAAAAAAAAAAAAGGGGCAAACGCGCCTGTAACTCAGGAGTCACAAGCGCGTTGAACTCACCGGCCCTTAAATTAGTTAGTAAGGGGTAGGCTCTTTTCTCTGAAGGTTTGAAGGTGGTATCGGACAATTTGTTCCATAGATTGGTTGTGTGAGGAAAAAAGTTTCTTGAAAAGTGGACAACGGTGGTTAATCAAGTGATAGGGGTGAAAGTATTACCGCGTGTAACATAGGCGGAAAACTGCAGCCGGTAGATCATCATTTGTTCTGTGTCTGGGTGTAATTTATCCTCAATATATCTATGAATTTAGAAATATTTAAGTATGTTTGTCAGCAGTCCGGGAACCATAGTTCAGGCTCTGCCTAGTTTGGGATCAGACTAACGCGTGTAATATGTGTAAAGTTATCTTTCTTTTAAATAAAACCGTTTAACTTGAAAACAGTTTTGCATCATTATTGATTGTGTTATACAAATGGCATTAGGTACTTTTGTATTATAATAAAATAAGTATTTATCATTACCAAATATCGTCGATTCGTGATTTGAATTAATTAATTAATTATCAAAGCTTTTAAAGTAATCCATACATCTATCAAATACAAATTTTATCTGATTGTCTATTTCAAACTTTTTTTTAAGAAATGTAATACCTACTTAAAAAATAAAAACAATTATACAATGCTATCGTTTTTAGAAATGTCTGTTAGTTTTTCTATTTGTGTTGAACACGCATAATTGATAAATGGCTACCTAATTATACACGTATAAGAAATTCAGAAATAAAAATCAAACATCTAATATATAAAATTCTCGTGTCGCGGTATTTGTTACCTAACACCTCCGAAACGGCTGGACCGATTTTTATGAAATTTTGTGTACATATCGGGTAGGTCTGAGAATCCGCAAACATATATTTTTCATAACCCTATTTTTTTTTTAATTATTTTATTATGACTTCACATCACACATCACATCAACAGCCTTTAATAGTCCACTGCTGGATATAGGCCTCTCCTTAGAAATGAGGTTTTGGCCTACTATTATGATTTACCATTGAAAAATACATACAACTTCAAATTTTCATCCTTCTACGATCAACCCCTGTTTTTTATACGCGATAAAAACTCTAAAATTATGTATATGGCAAAACAACGTTTGCCGGGTCAGCTAGTTATATCATAATAATCTAAACTAATATTATAAAACTGAAGAGTTTTTTAGGTTGAACGCTGTAATTCTATGACCATCCCATTCCATCGGGCCCTGCTGGCTATAGGTCTACTGATGATGATGCTGATTGATAATAAGGAAAACGAACGCACAGGTGACGCCGCGGATAAGGTAAGTAAGTAAATAAAATATCTCTCTTATCTATATAATTACTATTTTATTGTGTTTCATAAGTATTTAAGCCATATGAATTGGGGA